CATTTTAACAAGAACACACTTTTAAGTGCCCTTCTACTTACATACACACTTGTGGTTAATGTTTATTTAGGCATTGCTGGTGCTTCATATATACCTACTGTTCAAACAGCATTGCCACGTCTCCTCGGTGCAGCTGCTCCACCTGGAGCAAGTGCTCGTGAAAATCGTCGTCAATGTCTCAAGGTATAATATTGTTGTTCAGTGTAAGAAAGTATTTTTCTGTTCTTTCCTTCCCATTCCGCCCACCCGTCTCTCACCCGTCTGAAGGATTAAAGGATCTTTTGTCTATACTAGGTTTTACGGTTATGGCTTGAGAGGAAAATTTTACCTGAATCTATTCTGCGGCGTTATATGGATGACATTGGAGCTTCAAATGATGATACAATCTCGGGATTTTCCCTAAGGCGCCCGTCTCGAGCTGAACGTGCTATAGATGATCCTATAAGAGAAATGGAAGGCATGCTTGTGGATGAGTATGGCAGGTGTGAAAACTCTTTCAATTATTTAAATGAAATTATTATAATGATAATAAATAATATCGACCATATCCTATTGAAGATTGAGTTGGTTTTCATATGGTTTCAGATATATTTGAAGCCCAACTAAGACCAAATTTTCTTTCAGCTTGATTTTCAGACCCAACGTAAAACCTTTTGCTTTTCAAACTATGGCAAACCAACTTGGCTACCTTTAGCTGATTTTAGCTTAGGCCAAATTATCAGCACTCCAGTTCACTCTGCCACTGTCATTGATCTGATTGGAATGTATTGCTGAGCTACTTACTTTCTTAGTTATCTTATATTGAAGTTTTTCTCGAATTACTAAAGTTTGAAGTTGTTTTGAAAGCTCTTTTTGTAGCATTTGTGTCCCATATTCTACTTCCTTGTATTTACACTTGAGAGGAGCATTAACTTTCTGACACCAATTTTGATGGTTTTGTAATCAGTAATGCTACATTTCAGCTGCCTGGCCTTCTGTCTTCAAATGCATTTGAAGATGACGAGGATGATCTTTCAGACAGTCCTTGTGGAGAAGCTGTTGACGCATCACCTCTTGAAATGGCTCAAACTTCAGCAGACTTAGAAGCGTGTACAGTTACTCCAAGTGACAGGCGTCATTGCATCTTAGAAGATGTTGATGGTGAGCTTGAAATGGAAGATGTTTCTGCACACCAGAAGGATGACAGGCCATCATTCACTAGCGATACTCTTGAAAAAGACATGCAACAGTTGGACACTGATAAGATTATGGAACCAGGTTCAAATAGCTCCAATGGATGCCCCCCTCTACTAGAGGGTTCCCCGCCATTGCCCCCAAACTCTCCTCCACCCCCACCACCTTTGCCACCTTCATCACCTCCGCCACCACCTCCATCATCTCCATCACCACCACCTCAACCTCCACCACCACCTCCTCTACCCCTTCGAACACAACCACCTCTACCATCTCCACCACCACCACCTCCACCTCCTCTACCCATACCAACACAACCACCTCCTCCCCCTGTGCCACCTTCATACCCTCCTCCAGCCTTCATACCCCAACCACCATTGCCCACTCAACCTTCACTCCTATCTCAACCCATGGTACCACCCCAGTCATCGATGCAGTCTTCACTGCAGTTGGCATATCAACCACCTGTACATCATGAATTTCGGGGCACACCAAATGTAAGTCTTCTAGATGTTTCTTGTTACAGAGCATGTCAATACTTTTTAATTTATAAAACCTATGCCTTCCTGTGCAGGGTAATCAGATTGTTCAAATGGGCGGAACTGCTCCTCATGGGGATCATATAGATGTTGCTGTGAAAAGTGAATTGTTTCTGCAGCAATCACCTTGCTTTCCATCAGGAGTCAGAAATTCTCTAGAGTCTTCTGGATATAATTCTTCAAGGCAATTGGAATATGGACATAATGAAATGTACTCAAATACCCAATCCTCTCAACCTAGTCAACAATTTCAACCTGGTAATACAGCCTTTGTGCAGAGACCTTTACTGCCGAGTCTGCCACAAACTTCATCTAGCCATTTCTCATTCACAAACCCTTCCATTCCACCACATCCTCAGCATTCGTATCCGCCTCAATACTCACTGCCATCACAACATGATGGTTGCAGGCCATTTGTTGCCGATGAACAGTGGAGAATGCCTTCTGGAGATTATAATACTGAAAATCAGTGTGGGTGGATAGCAGGAAGAAATCCACCATCTGCTGGTCCATTGTTTGTCCAGGAAGGTATAAATTACCATGTCCCTAATCCCCATGAAGCTTTGATGGTTAAAATATGTATATTTAGGAGCACTGAATTTATATTCTTTCATCTGATTGTGTTGTTCTTAACTTCAAATTTAACATATGCCCCCTCTATGGTTGTGGCAGTCGGACTTCTTAGTGTTGCATGTTATGGATGTTCTACTGAAAAAAAGGAAAAAAAAGGAAAAAATTCCAAAAAACAAATGTGGAATATGTAACCATATAAATATGAAAGACATGCTTTGCAATGTATCTGCTTGTTATCTAAACTATAAATAACATAAATGACACTAAGAGCTCAATCTTATGCCCATAATTAGTATTTGAGATATTCTTCTGATTATATTGATTCATGGATATTTCATGTGCACGACTTTTTCGTTCACACAGGACTTGATGTGCTGATAAGATGTACCTACATTTTATGGAACTTCTGTTATTTGTTTGGCAGGTTACTTTAGACCACCTGTTGAAAGGCCATCCTCAAGAAATATGGGTTATCCTATTGCTTCCACCAATAATCTACCAGCTGGAGCTCCAAATTCAGGTATTGCAATTTTGTTGTCTTGGTTTGCTTGTAATTTCCTTCGTTTGCCACTTAAAAAAACAAACACCTATTAAACCAGAGAATAAGATCATGGTTGTATCTTTCAGGTCATGGTGTTTTACCAATATTGCCATGTCGACCAGACATGTCTGCTATTAATAGTTGGAGGCCAGCTCGAGAATAAGGAAATAGTCATATTAGGTACTTGAACACTCATATTTGTTAAAGAAATCTTTGCTTAGAACATTTAATTCTTTTTTTTTTCAGTACAACATTTGATTTTTGCTATTGAAGTGAAAATGAAATTTTCTGTTCAAAATTTTTGCTCCTTTTGTTGCAAGAATCGAGAGTATTTGTTACTGTTTTCGTTTGTTCCATGTAATTTTATTGCTTAGATTTACAATTCTTTTCTTGCATCTCTTATTTCCGTTATAAAAAAATAGCAATTTATTCTTCAGGATAGAAGGAATCAATAACTCATGACCTCTCTGCCTATCTTTTACACTTTATCAATTCCTGCTTAATTAGCTACATTGACTGGTGTCTTTTTTTGTAGTTGGCTACGAGCCAAGTGTCATTTAAGGGTGGCTCAATTTGTGGACAGAATACAAATATCACATGAAGGCTGTGTTGATAACTTGCGCGGAGACTCTTGGCAGGATTGTGTATATTGTATTTTTTTCCTGACAAATGTATCCCGGGAACATTTGCTTCCGAGTGTAGGCCCATATTTCTGACTTGGTTAGTACAGTGTTTCTTAGCTTCTGTAACTATGCCGACTTCATAAGAAAAAAATTTCTTCGTACAAAATTGGAACTCTAGTCCAAGTAGTAGTTTTCAAGGCGTTTTGATTGTTTCTGTTATTCAAAAATTGTTCACTGCTTTTTGTTGAGTTAATTACTTGTGGTGCTGGCTTTCTTTTGGAGCCAAATTCACATGAGCGCTTTTATTTATTATATAGGAAGCACAATTGTAACTGAACATAGTGTGACTGATCTGATTTTTTCTTTAGATGCAACTTTGGTTCATTCCTAAACATGGCTATATCCTTTTTTATGTTCGTTGGAAGAAGTGTGAACCTTTTTAAGCAATTGGTCTGTTTTCGGATTCGCCGTCACAGCCTGGCTTTAAGTGAAGGAGAGATTTTATCTATGTATGAAACTTTAAGCGGGCAATAATTTAAGATGTGAAAGGCCATTTGCTGTAGTTTTAGATATTCTCCTTGTAACTTGTGATCCTAAATGCTGCTGATAAATTGGTATAAGCTCCTCAACCAACCCGGTTTAGTAGCAATCTGTGAACTTTGACCAAATATGCGACATTTTTTTTTATGTTTTCCAGTCAATAAAGAAAATTGAGTTGAGAATAATGTGGTCATTACTTGTATGTCACAGGTTTTGAAAATCGTATAATCTGAAATATCTCTACTTATGGGCTCGCAACTCAATATCCACCATTGTTGACAGGTCCCAAGCACAGAGCAAACTACAGCAAAATGTTGAGGTAAATATTTGACATGGAACACGAGCCTAAACATTTTTTTTTAATTTAGTTAGATACAAGTAGTTCTTAAAGGATGTTTCTGTCAATTGTAAGCAGTTAGAAAAATAGTCGAAATTTTCTGGCTAAAATATGTGTTTATAGTACTATCATGTACATTACAGAAACTGTTGCATAGTACTTTGAGTTCTATTTCCTTGTATGCATTAAATTCCTGAAGTTTTGCCCGGAGCTAATGATCTAAGTAACTGATTTTCATAAATTGTTTCCAACGACGCAACACTTCCACAAAATTCTTCTCCATGTTGCATGAATAAGTGTATGTCTTTTATACGAACATGTTTTTTAAAAAAAATGTTGTCTTTCATGTACTTGGATCCTAGGAAGGCTGTATCATCGTATAAGACAAATGTGTCCTATACGGGTATATATGTGCAAATATTAATTTGCATTCAACGCTGGTGTCAGATATTGGTATTTAAAGAAGAATGAAGAATCAGCAACATAGCCTGTGTTACTCATGTTTCCTTTGATCAGTCTGATGTGAATAGAGATTGACAATACCGGGAATAAAGGCAGTCCCCTTCAGTATGTCGATATCAATAGCAATAGATGGTGTGTTTATGTGGTTTCCATTAGTACTAGAATGGTTGGTTTTATGGCATACCTGAATATTCATGAAAGCACTGCAAAAATTATGGGGGCATCAGGTAGCTAATTTATAAATGAAAGATGCATGTCTTTTGGCCAACCAATTGTATAGCTACTAAACACTGTAAGGAGCTTATAACCACAGCAATTTTTATTTTTTATTTTTCAAGTATCTATAAATTCCGACGATTGGACACACCTCAGAAGCACCTTCAAATTAGCTAGTATGTGTCGTGGTCCTAAACTATCAACACCGATGAAGCTCAAAAGCTGCTCGATATCCTGGAAACATAAGCAGTAAAGACTATGAATTCATTGCAAATTGTGTATCGAAAGATAAACGTAAAATAATCAGTTTCCTTGACAGATAATTTATAGTTAGCATGAGTCCAACTAACATAAACTATCATGTTTTTCTTAATTACCTAATAATCCTATATCTAACCAAGCAAATTTGAAGTTCGTGATGTGCAAGGAATTATGTTGCAACTCTGGAAAAGGTGAACCACAATGCAAGTGAAGAAGCACTGCAAGGTTATTACAATAATGTATGGTACTATTGACAACTCACCTTGCTCAACAGGAATACGGCGTAGGCGGCTCTTGTTGTGTCCTGACCTTCTAAAAACAGTGGAAATTCTACAGGCTTTACGGATGCAGAAAGCACAGTATTCCATGATGGATCCAAAGTTGTAGCCTCTACTGGAGGTACATTGTCGATAAGATACGAGCGGGAACCACCCAGGCGCAAAGGATATCGTAGGGGAACTTGTAAAAATGAAGCAATTAAGGAAACAGCCTGCAAAACAAGGGAACAAGGAGGGAAGAAGAAAGAATAATCAAGTATCAAAATTATTGCCTCAGGAAGAAAAGCATGGCTATAAGAAACTGCTCAAGATATCTTCGATCCTAGTAATATAAAATAACATCATGTTCATTTTTTGAGCAATAAAGGATTGTAGCTTGATAGCACATAACACAATTTCAATAATAAAAGTGGATTTTATACTAAGCAAAGACAAGAACACACATGTGCAACATATCCCAAGGCAGTTGTGGATTTCTGAAGCTCCTTTTTGTCTGTAAAAAAACTCATCTTCGTAAAAGGAAGAATGGTGGGATGCAGACCTAGTATCGTCAAGGTTCTGTGATTGATGGACTTAGATGCAGAAGAATTACCTGGTGAAGACAACAATAAAATCATAATCAAATGTGTGTCCACAAACTCAAGTGCAAAGAAAAAAATATAAATTTAATTCACAATGAGAAATAAGTTATGGAATAACGCATTACCTAGTTTGCTACTGCTTGGATATGATTCGAGTTCTTGTGCTTGTAAGGGTCCAGCCAAGATCTTTACAGGATAGAGCAAAGAAACTTGTGATATCTTATATTGTTGCATTGTTCGAAGCTTCCTCAGCAAATTTTTTAGCTTAATGTAACCCCTTTCTTCATGAAGAATTCTATTTGATTCCTGGGATAAAAACATCGGCTGATTAATCATGCCATCATTGGATGCTATTAGAAGAGGATGATCAATGACTATTCAAGGAATTTATAAGATGAGAATCCTTGCATTGAGGAGATGATTATCTATCTAAAGCAGAATGAGGAAAATACTTGTAAAATACCATAAATTTCAACCTTCCTCAAAACATCAAATGAAGATATTTAAAATTTGAGTAAAGATAAAATACTTCACCTGCAATCTCTTCCTCGCTACAGAAAGAGAGGTACCAGCAACCACTAATGACCTCACTTCAGTGCTAAGCATTTCCTCATGTTTTTTAGCATCCTCTGTTACAACCTTGCAACGCATTGACATGTTTTCCATCATCACTTCTCTTGCCGCAAGTCTCTCACGCATTTCCTCAAGCTCATTCATTCGATTCAATGACTCAGTTTTAACCTGCACAGCATGATCCCACCCGCCAATCAGCGGGCTAATTAATTAGGTCCAAATCTTGCCACACACCCACACACCCATGCACACAAAACTATTAATTTACAAACTACATCAGGTACTTCAAGAGTGATATGGCTTTGTTTCTATGGATATGTTTAAATTATAATAGAAATCAATTTAAAGGGACCTAGAGGAACAAAATAGTGAAAAGAAAAAGAATCCAAAGGGGGGATATGGAATCGAATAGAGACCACAAGTCTATCAGGTACAGCCAACAAGAAATCCTAAAATAGCACAGCTATCGCGCAATTAAGAAAAATTATCCAGCCAAATAAAAGATGACTCGCATTTCAACTTTGTGGCACTGTAGAAAAGAATCAGTAAGCAAACATTGTATTTAGTTTATCTTACCATTTTGAAGAGTAAATAGAAGGTAAATGAAACAGAAAGGAACCGACATCATCATTTTGGTTTAAAGAAAATACAGATAGAGTATTTAAGATTTTTAAGGAAAATCAGTTGATTCAAAAAGGCAATTATCTTCTCCTTTTCCCCACTAAAGCTTAACAAACAAGGCTTCTTTCTCATCTTTTGATGAAGCATTCAAGCAAGCCAGCAAAATTATAAAATTTCAAACTAAAATGACAGGTTACCTGTGCAACCTAGTTAAAAATTTAAGACAGACACCAGAAATGTATATTCCTTCAGCTCTAGGACGAAGACAGCTACCAAAACATAGCTAATAAAACTTCAATGGTGGAATATTATGACTTCATTACATCATCACTGGAACCATTTTAACTCTACAAGCGGATTAAGAGGTCACCACATATTTCACTGTAACCAAAGTGTACGTGTCACCTAGTTAACACTGCTTTTGGAGTCTAAAATCTTCAGCAGCACTGGATGAGATAATTAATGTCTTGAATATTGTACATACCAGAAGAGGAAACCATAGCATCATCCTACTATATTTCAAAATAACAACATTGAGCATACAATTAGAATATGTTGTATTACAACTCCTTATAGAATTTACTGAACATAGCTACACGTAGAATCCATGAAACCTTAAACTTCACTTTTCTTCTTTTCATTTCCCTTAATTTCTAACTCAGGAAAACAAGTTACTAACAATAAACTGAATCGCTATTATAAATTCCTAAAGTTTCAGCAAATAACCAACAAAAAAGCCCAAATTTCATTTCCCATCAAAATCTTTTTTCTCTCACTTCAAATTCAGGTGAACGGTGAACCCGAAACACGACTATCATAATTTAATCCGGAAAAGCCATACCTGAATAAAAGATTGGAGCTTCTCTTGAAGACTTTGCTTCCTCTCATTAGCTTCTTTAAGGGCAGAAGTTAAACTCCACAACCTAGCAAGCTCGTGCTCGAAATCTTCCCATTCAATTATTCGTACATTTTCTTCCGTTGCATCGATTTGCTTCCTGTCGGAAATTAGGGTTTTATCTCGGTCTTGTTGCTCTCGAATTTCCATGTATAAATTGAAGAGGAAAGCTTCGGATTTTGCAGATTTAAGAAGAGGTCATAGGTCGACCTCATTGTACTAGGATCTTGCCCGGCTAGAGTTTTGTTGATTTTGTTCACAGCGATGGCATAATTTTCTCGGGAAAATTTGTTTGGAAAAGGAGAAATTTTCTCGGGAACCGCAAAGGGGTAATAGAAGGGAGAGAATCTGTATTTTGCACGTTTTTTATTTAGGGAGGACCAATAATTTGACCAAATTTAAAAATATATAAATAATTTTACAATTTAAATTTTATCAAATAAAAAAATTTACAAAAGATACAATAATAATGAGAGTTTATACACATAAATAATAGATGTCATGGATGATTCTAATTATGATCAATATTATAGTTCTAATAAAAAATATTTATCATATTTTTTAAAAAAAGAATTATAATTATCATGAATCTTCATAAGTAAATATTTATAATAAAACATATTTATTTATTTTGTAAATTTTATTATGTTAAAATTTGTGATCAAAATTTTATTTTGATTCGATTCAAAAGTTCATGATGTATTATGTTTAATAAAAAAAAATCGGGGTGAGAAAAATAGGAAATAGTGGTGAATGCGGGTCGAAAGGTATATGAAAAACTCTATGTTGTACGAATCTTTTCGCACATATAATCCGTACATGATTATATTTGTTTTCAATAGTATGTATTGATTACATGATAATATATGTTTGTAATATTTCTTAACCATCGACAATACATATGCACCATCTTATAAACGAAGTTGGTTGAGCCGGAAATCTCAGGGAGAATAACTCTCCCTTAACCACTAAGGTCACTCAATGAGTTTCGTGACTGTATTTTTATTGTTAACTTCGATTGAAAGTAATAAATATCGTCGAAATAAATATTTTCTACTCAAGTTTTATTTATAATTAGTTAATTGATTCTTTGGGTTAGAAGGGTCGTCTCCGTTTTTACAGTATCTAATCTAAATCAGTTGATTAATAGATCAGATAGTGATGATTATACTAAAATAAATAAATTCTAAAGATTTTTATTCTATTTTAAATTTTTAGATATACTTAATTAATTTCCTTCTTAATATTTTTAACAGGTTTTTTAACGTTTTATTTTTTGTAAGTTTTTAATTAAATATTAAAATACTTTTTAAAATTTAAAATTAAATATTTTAAATTATTTGAAATGAATTTAATTTATACCTTTTAAATTGGCAAAATCAACGAGATAATGCGTTGAATTTTTTTTTTCACGAGATAATGCCCTCGCCAGATTAATTGCTTAGATGGGGTGATCTCTACAGTCCCCATATAGGTCGCCATGCACGCCCAGCGACCTACCAGGTCGCCATACAATCCATGCAGCCCCCAAAGATCGCCATGCACGTCCCAACACGCTGGGCATCCGAGGCCATCCGACCGAGGCCATCCGACAGCATCTGAGGCCATCCGAACGAGCTATGCGAGGGCATCCGAGGGTAACCGAGCGAGCTATGCGAGGGAATCCGAGGGCGACCGATCGGTCGCCCTCGGATGGCCTCGGTCGGATGGCCTCGGTCGGATGGCCTCGGTCGGATGGCCTCGGATGCCCAGCGTGTTGGGGCGTGCATGGCGACCTGGTAGGTCGCTGGGCGTGCATGGCGACCTACCCCCGGGGACGTGGGACTGTAGAGATCACCCTATCTGAGCAATTAATCTGGCGAGGGCATTATCTCGTGAAAAAAAAAATTCAACGCATTATCTCGTTGATTTTGCCCTTTTAAATTTCTAAAGAATTTAAATAAATCTCCTAAATTATGTTGCCATCAGGCTTGGACCAATACAGCGTGCAGACCTTTTCATTCAACCATTTTATTGAGTTAATCGATCGACGAAATTAGCCAAGAGGGGGTGAATTGACAATTAAAAATTCGGTGGAAGCTTTTGCAGAAAATTGAAAAGATTTGCACAGCGATTTAGAGTGGTTCGACTTTCTCAATCAAAGTCTACGTCCACTACCTTAGCTATCCACACTAAGGATTTTCCAACAAATTCACTAATTTGTTCTTTCTTTTGAGGCCAAAGATATAACCTTACAACACCCTCAAGAATATACCCCAATTCTTGAGAACACTCTTTTCCCAAAGAGAAGATTACAAATTTGCAAACTTACAAGGAAAACCTCACAAGGTAAGATGTTTGCACAATTCTAGAACAAGAAAAGAACACTCAAAGATAATTACAAATGAGCACAAATGGTGTTCTTGAAAGCAAAATGAATATTGAAAGGAAAATTGGCTTGATTTGCACAAACTTGGTGTTTGATGCTTTCTCTCTTGTTTCTCTATAATTTCTTGTTGATCAAGGGCTTCAGAACTTGTTTAAATACACCTTGAATCACTTCTGAACGTTGGGGATAATTAATGAAGATAATATAGCCGTTTTAGTGTGAAAACAATTAATAAAACAGCTTGGAGCGTGGGGGGAATCGATTCCTCATCATAGGGAATCGGTTCCCTATGTGTAAAATTCAAATATTTCGACCGTTGAACAGGGGGGAATCGGTACCCCCTATGGGGGAATCGGTTCCCTCCGAGCATTCTGGAAATCTCGGAGCCAAACCATTCAGGGGGGAATCGGTACCCCCTTGGGGGGGAATCGGTTCCCTCTGAGCAATATGGAATTTTTGGCTTTGAAATGGTTCGAAATACTTTGAAAGATTATTTTGAAATTTTTTTAAGATTAAAACTTAATTTTACACTTAAGTAAGGATTAAAAATGACTTTTGAAATATTTTGAGTAATGTTTTGATATTCGAATAATTATATCGAATATACTTGGAAAATCATTTTGAAAAATCTTAAAATTCATTTAACTTAATTTGTTATATCGAAATATCAAAATGTTTTCAACAATCTCCCCCTTTTTGATATAACAAAACATTTTAGTAATTTTAAGATTTTGAAATCAAGTTTTGAAATTACTCCCCCTTACTTTAACACTTCTCCCATTTATCATTTTAAAAACACACTTAAAACACACTTCTCCCCCTTTTTGTTAAATCAAAAAAATTCAAATAAGCGTGAAAAATATGTAGTCAGTTGATTAGGTATATGTATGCATAAGCTGCTAAGATCACAATCAAGAGAACCGTTAGCCATTAGTTCCATAATTAATATTCATAAATAATGTGATATGGTAAAATTGGTCATATTGCTAATAATGATGTAAATGATGCAATAATGAATAAATCACACCAAAAATATAAGTTCACACCATCCAAACAAATTCTCAATCCACAAATTCAAACATTCCAAAATATTCAAAATGTTAAAACAATAAGTTTGGAAAGTAAAACATTTAATCACATATCCGGATCAGGAGGAGGAAAACGAGCTCGCATAGCGGCCATTTCGTTAGTGAGGTCATTAATACGTGCGTTGGTTGCTTCATTATTTGCACGCATTTCCCTAAGAATTTCTAATTGTTGAGCTCCCATTGTGGATAAATGAGACTCTATAGAATTAAAGCGCGAATCCATGGTCGCATATCGGTAATCAAATGTCTCCATAAAAGATTGAAAATATGGAGGCATTTGAGTCGATTGTTGTGCTTGCTCTTCGGGCTGCTCAGGTTCATCTTCAGCTTCATCGATGTCTCGCATTAATTGCTCGAGATCTTCGTCAGCTTCGGGTGGAGCTTGTGAAGAACTAGCTCCCGGAGTAGTTGCAGAAGATCGAACCCATTCACCGGTTTCTTTATTTTTGACCCATCCCGCTCTTGTTAAAGAAAGAAGATTGATTTGTTTCTTAAGAGGAAAAGTGGAATCTAGACCAACTCGAAGCTCGGCTTTAGAAAAGAGATTACTAAGGATACAACCGTAAACTAGTGAAGAACAAAGTTTCTTATTTGGCACTAGGTTAACGGTTTCAACGATCTCAGCAAAGATAATCTTGGAAAGGTTTATTTTTATGTTGTGTTCAAAACAATGCAACCACCATAGGTCTAAAGCTCTAAGAGTAGAATAACGACCCCCGGATGGTCGAAACCACCAAGTGATCATGAGATGAAGAAAACGCTCATGAAGATCTAGAACACTTGCACTATCATTCAGTTTATATCGTGAGCCTAAAACTTGTTTTTCATTTGATAAACCTTCATTATCCAAGCCTAAGGCATTGGCTATGTAATCCGGATCAAGATGGAAATATTGACCTAGGAGGTAGGAACGTACTCCTATGGTTTTGGTCTTGTCACGATTTTTGATACAAACGGCATTACAGTAGAAGATACGAACAAGTTGATGATAGACAACGGGTTCAAGTTCGAAAAGTTTATCAAATTTCCATTCGTGCAAGATAGGGAGATATTTAAAGTTAATAGCAACCATAGCTTGAAGAGATGGGATACGTTCTTCCCTAATCTTATACGAGTCAAAATATTGGTAAAACCAATAACGATAATCTTTAGGACCCGGTTTATTGAAACAAGAATTTTGGATAGTCAAGTTAGGATCAAGATTTGTAATAGGATTTTGAGGAATAGGAGGAGGATTTGGAGGTGGATTTGGTTGACGACTAGAATGACTAGATGAAGACCTAGCACGTTTAGGATTAGACATGGTGAAGGAAATCAGAATTGATTGGATAACCTGCAATTTTAAAAACAAATGTATGCAATTTAATTAATCCCAAAACTCAATTGAGTCCTCAATATTTCAAGGTTCTCTAAATCAATCCTAATGGGAAAAGTTTTTGAAAAACTTTTGAAAAATATGGTTTTGAGAAACAATATATGTATAGTTTTTATAACAACAACATAATTTAATCAAAACACAATAATTTGAAAATTAACATTTTTTTATTTCAAAAATTTTTATAAAAAAATGGAAAATTCTTGTGTTTTTGATGAAATTAGTTGTAACATCTAGTTTCTAATCACTAAACAATCAATGCCCGATCACTATTTCAGCCTAGAACTAATTAAAACTAATCCTATGTTCAAAAACAATGAAATAGAGAGTTTAGAAAAATTTACCTTGAAAGATGAAGATTGAGGGGATTTAGATGTTGTTTGCACGATTTTAATGACTCCAACAGGTTTAGAAGATGATATTTGAAGCGAATTCCGATTAATATCGTTGATTTGAGGTAAGAAAGGAGATATGGAGAGAGTTTGGTCGGCAAGGAAGAAAATGGAGGGTTTT